CGCTGGGACGCCTGGGGTCCTAACCATCTCCGAAACTACCTACGTCACTTATCGAATGTCATCCTGCGCTGATCACTCAATGGACCGATAGCGGACCTAACCTATCTTTTAAAACCGGTCGGGGTCACTAGGTCCCTCCGGGCTGCCTGCATCGTCTCCGTATAGCCACGGCTTTATGGGGCCCGCGCCGGCAACCGAACGGATTAGCCTTTGTCGGCTATGCACTCATCCTCAATAATCGATCCTCAACTCGCTCTCACCCTTTCTCTTCACTTCGCGACTTATTGCACGTATCCAGGGCTTACCCAAGCGAGGCCTACTATTTAAGTGGGGTCTATCCGAGCTGAGCTTCATTCAGGAAATCCGATTCCTCTACGTGTACAGTCTTCAATTCCATTTCACTCGCTTCTTATCTCCCTCCTAACCCATGGCCGCGTCGGTGGACTTTCCACGCACAGGGGCGTGACGTGCATCATCTATCTCCCCGGTTCCGTCCCTTGCAGTGTCCCCAGTGTCCATGTGGGGTAAAGTTACAAATATTTCGTGTGCGGCAAGGTCTATGTGTGCTCCTTATATTCGGACCGCTGGATAGGGTAGAGCGCCAGGAAATCCGCTGGCGAGGGCACTTGGGAGTCAACCGGAGAAGCTCCAGTATCGGTTGGGCTAGGGAGGTCCCGTATGTGTTGTGTATAATCGCTATCATTTGGACCGTGGGATAATTTGGGGAGGATGGAGTGCCAGGAAATCCACTGGCAAGGGCACTTAGGAGTCAACCGGAGAAGCTCCAGTATCGGTTAGGCTAGGGAGGTCCTGTATGTGTTGTGTGTAATCGCTATTGTTTGGACCGTGGGATAATTTGGGGAGGATGGAGTGCCAGGAAATCCACTGGCAAGGGCACTTAGGAGTCAACCGGAGAAGCTCCAGTATCGGTTAGGCTAGGGAGGTCCTGTGTGTATTGTGTGTAATCGCTATTGTTTGGACCGTGGGATAATTTGGGGAGGATGGAGTGCCAGGAAATCCACTGGCAAGGGCACTTAGGAGTCAACCGGAGAAGCTCCAGTATCGGCTAGGCTAGGGAGGTCCTGTGTGTGTTGTGTATAATCGCTATTGTTGGACCGTGGGATAATTTGGGGAGGATGGAGTGCCAGGAAATCCACTGGCAAGGGCACTTAGGAGTCAACCGGAGAAGCTCCAGTATCGGCTAGGCTAGGGAGGTCCTGTGGGTGTTGTGTGTAATCGCTATTGTTTGGACCGTGGGATAATTTGGGGAGGATGGAGTGCCAGGAAATCCACTGGCAAGGGCACTTAGGAGTCAACCGGAGAAGCTCCAGTATCGGCTAGGCTAGGGAGGCCCTGCATGTGTTGTGTATAATCGCTTTGTGCACTGTGTAAACTCAACAGATAAAGAGAACTGATCGTTGTAAATTACTCTGGCCGGACACCTTGGAAACGACCTCTTTCCTGACTGTGGGTTAGCATATGGCCTTTTATGCTCCATCCTCCGGTCCCTGCCCCTTCAGCACTACTCACACTCGTATTTCAATATTTACAAGTCCCATTTATTTACATACTCCGACGCAACACCTTAAATTCCCTTACAAGTCAAATTTAAAGGAAACATTCTGGGCCCAGGCCGCCCATCAACTGAGCCCCACAAGCCGCGCGGTGCGGTACACAGTCGCCCGTCCCTTTCCCGACTCCCCACGGTGCATAATCCCCTCCGTCCGCTTAAATCACAACGGGGCGCCAGACGACTGAAGAGGGCCCACGTCGGCACGCGTGTCGCACTACGCGCACAGTTACATAATTGATCGAAATCGAATTGTGAAATTAAGCTACCTAGACTGAAAGTCCCAAGAATAAATTTAAATACCTAAGCTGAATGGCCTAAAATATTGCGGACGACACCAAAAAGGGGAATATAATGTGGCTCACATAGCAGTAACGAAAGGGGGGGGGGGTTACTTGGAGGATTTAGGGACTAGGTGCGCACCCGTGTTCACCGCGTGACCTTACTTGAGATGGAGTCGCTGACATGATGGTCGTGACCGTCCAGCGCCCGGCCAGGCGGCCGGAGCCGCCGCCGGCGCCGTGATGCCTGCCGCTGGTCTCTCGTGGGCTGTCCACGGTGTCAGATGTGAGCCGAGAGCGAAGAGCGGCGTGGGATCCGTCGTCCGAGAGAGAGCCAGAGAGCGCGGAATGCGTCGTCCGAGAGAGCTTTTCAGTTCCGTTTCATCAACTTATACTTCTGATGACGTCATACTTCAGAGGGCCGGGCAGCATCACCTTGTCCAATCTCCGTCCTCCATTCTCAGAAGCTGCACTCGGCTCCGCCCTCGAAAGTTCGTGATTTGCTGACCAAGTTCGGTTCCCCTCCGGCCATGGCAGTCGCACCCTTTCACGCAGCGACCGGGTGGAATTCGCCGCCGGCGCTCACGGCGCCTGAGGCGCCAGGTGGCGGGCCTGGCCCTCTGCTCCCCTTGTTTTGAAGTCAGGTCCGGCCAGATGTCCTAGATTTTGTCGTTGGCGACCGAGTTCCATTTCATCCTGTTTTCGTACAAACCGGGTCGGTTCCCGCTCCCCTTTCTTGTTTTGGTTCAAACCAGGCCGGTCTGCACTCCCCTCTCCTTGTTCTTCTCTTCTGGCGGGGTGCCGAGCGTGGGACATTGTCTTGTTTTCCAAAGGTTAAACTGATAAATGGTTCGAGACGGGCCGAATGGCGCGTTTCGGTATGCTATTTGTCGAATTCAAATCCGGGTTCTCATGAAGCGGGGTGGTCATCTATAGAGGACCCCTGTTTGTCAGAGCCGACTGCGCCGTCTGTGTGGACGCCAGCTGGGACGGAGAGAGGGTATCACAGCCGATTTAGCCGGCTGACCGTGTCTGTGCGGCGCTCGCAGATGGCCGTGTTTCAGCTTGTGGCACAGCTTGCAGTTCAGCATGAAAGATGAAAAAAATGTAACGCATCTGCGTTACATAACCTTGAAAAATTCCCAGATATACAAGTTGTGAGACCTCTGGAGGACACCATGTATGCGTCCTGTAACGTTCATCTCGGACAGCTATGGTCATTGGCGTCCAAAACAATGTCAGAATCAAGCAGCCTTTTACACCCTCGCGCTTATAGGAAAGAGGGTTGAATGAACCCTCTTTTCACTTTTTTCAGATGACTCAGACTTAAATTGAAATTTTAGTAACCCGTGATGTCGCTAGGCAGCTTTACCACGCCATTTGTAAGCTCCCCTCCCGAAATCACTATTCGAAACCGTTATCGTGACGTAAAATAAATACATTTATAGAAAGAACACCTTCCTAATTTTTTGCATACTTCTTAACAATGAGCCAACTATTTTTTTAAAGAAATAACAATTCAAAAAAATTTGGTCCCAAAGTCCAAAAAATACAAATGAAAAGAAAACTCGATATGTTATATATAAAAAATAGCGTATTTTTCGAAATTTCAAAAATACATATTAATCTCTGTTTCATTGCAAGTTCAATGTTATATAACATTTGGCATTTGAATAATCCATCTTAGAGTTACAGCCCGCCAAACTTAGCGCTGCAAAGCAAGATCCAAAAAATGTTATACACCATAACTCAAAAAATACTTATCTGATAAGCCTGAAATTGTTACAGGTGGATTCAGAGCCCTTGATTACCCCAGAGACCAATTCTCGTCAAATTCCGAGAGATGAGGGTGTCAAATTGGAAAAAAGTGGTACGATCTATCGTGGAATGCCCCAGCTACCAAACGGCAATCTCCGATTTTGAAATTTTTGAGTTTTGACAAAAAAAAACGTTTTTTTAATATTAGCAAAAAAAAATCCAAAAAGTGTTTTGAGTTTCGGAAAAAAAACAGACTATATGTGATATTACTTACCGTCTTCTATCCACATAACACATTTCACATTGATACCTCGTTTTTTGGCCAAGTTATAGCGAAAAAAGTTAAAAAATGATAACGTCAAATTTTCAAACTCAATTTTTGGCAAAGCCCTAGACCACGCAGGGCTAAACAAGGACCACCATTAGACTCCCCGTGACGAGCTGCATCGAATCGATGCCAATTTAATGCAAAAATATCAACTTTGAAATTTGACCTAATTTGACCTGACCTTGAACTGGCCTTTACCAAAACGTGACCTAAGCTGTCCCCAAAGGCTGCCTGACCCACATAATCGCATTTGTCTTGTAAAATGGACCATAAAACATGCATCACACGACACTTTCATATTGTGACTCCCATTGACCTGTATCTGTGACCTGACCTGGTATCAGTGACCTCAGATAGCAAAGTATGATATTTGACGAACAATGTACCATCGATGGTTTTCAATAACTTACCAGTTTACTCGACTTCACAACTCATTTCTTGAAATGCCTGTGAACGGTGAAAATCCGACCTTTGACCTGATCTGTGACGTCATCAGTTTGACCTAGGTCAATGAAATTGGGTCACAAGGTAGTTCCTTGGTGGGGCTATCGAACGCCGTTTGATTTGTGAAAATCGGACGGTAAATTTCCGAGATCTTAGGGGGGGGGGGCGAAACGTCCCTCCCCCTACCACCGATAGCCCTACGGGGCGCGGGTTAATTCGCGGCTAATTTTCCGGAGACCCCGCGGAGGTGCGCGTCCTTACACTGCTTGGAGGGAAGAAAGAGTCCTCGCGATCCTGTCGCTGCTTGTGTATGTAGAAAATTGTAACACGTAATGTATTTATGTTTGCGAGATGATACATGTGTGTACTAATTGCCTTTTCCTTCAACGAAAATTTAAAACGTAGCAGGTCGATGTTCAAAACCCTTCATTCAAAAGAAAATGCCTAACTGTTTTGAGCCTCCAATTTTTGTTGCAGAACACATGTTCTCCATGATTCTTAGACACTGTTGCTAAAAAGCAACATTCATTTATTTCGCCAAAATCAACCAACACCCAACGAAATAAGCTCTGTATTGATAGCACTGTGGTGAGCATACAGGGCCGCGCCACAGACTCACCGGAAGTGTACGTTGAGAACGCCAACTGTGACCAGGATTGAGAAGGTCACCAGCACCATGGTGAAGAGCAGGTACTTGCCGAGCAGCGGCACCGCCAGAGACGTCGGAGGGATGATCTCAGCCAATAGCAGGAAGAACACAGTCAGCGACAGCAGGATCGAGATGCACAGGGTGACCTTCTCGCCCGAGTCGGACGGCAGGTAGAACACCAGCACCGTGAGGAAGCTGATGCCCACGCAGGGGATGATGAGGTTCACCGTGTAGAACAGAGTCTTCCGTCGCATTATCAGGTTGAAGGTAATATCTGGCAGAAGCAGCGGGGTGATAAATAGGTCACTTAGCGACAAAAAAAGGAACAATCGTCACCCTATCACCTTATGACTTTACTTTAGGGTGAGAGCTTACTTTTGGCTTTGAGCTCTGCTGGACCCAATCCAGCAACCTCCCGATTTGCAGCGTATGTTAGGTATAGCTCAATCGGCGCCGTGAACGATTATTATGAAAATTAGACGGTCGAAAGACTATTTTTGCCACATGGAACACGAAACAATTTGCAGGCATCACATGTATGAACCTTGCGGTTGAGAGTTGAGACCTAAGTAAGGCTGGCATAGCTTGGGCGACATCAGACGAGCATGGGACAATGTTGTACCCGACATGTAGGTGGCGCTACAAAAGTCTGAGCGGATGGTGCGGTACCTATTTGTTTTGCTTTTGTTTTGTTGGGTTAGGCCCTTTCGGTCTGGCGAGACCACTTCAGGGCCGGTAGTTTGGTAGGAAACAGGGGGAGCCATTGGTCTGGGCAGGCACCCTAGAGAGTCGCCGGAACTGAACCCATCCAGAGCACAGGCCGACCAGCCCTCTCAAGCACTCACCACAATTGGGTACGGGCGTGCTCTTACGGGCATTCCCGCTTGGGATAATGTGGCCCGTCCAGTCCGGAACAGGGGGGGGGGGGGGTCGAAGTGGGGAGGAGAAGGACTTGAAAGTGCTGAGGATGGAAAAGGAAAAGAAAAGAAAAGGTGATGGTGCGGCCATGGATGAAGTAGTTAGGTAGCTGGCAATCTATGGTGCAGCTGTAGCTTTCAATGTGGAAACACAAATACGCTATGCTATGGTAGGTGGCGCTACCGGACTCCGATAGGTGACGCTGAGGCCACAGCAGAGCCTGCCTGGGGTGGAAGCGGTCTGGTGCGAGGCATGCACATTACCGCATTGGTGGTCTGGGTGGATGCAGGGGAGGGGCAATTGGTATGTATTCTCCTCCTCCGCCGCTCAAATGTGATGCAACTCTTTTGTTTTCAACTTATGAAACGAAAATTTAGCGTTTTATGACTTCGCATTCCACAATAGCGCGCGATAGAACGAGATCCCAGGGAATCTTAATTAAACTTTGATTGATCTTATAAGTAGTAAGCAAGCGTCTAACACCTTCCTATATCGTACCTGTAGGTATGTAGGTCCTCAAATTGCTTCGTTGACGATGATGCAGATTACCAGTCAACTTTCGCTTTAGATATCATGCGATTCATGCTCATCCAGTTCGGTATGTTGCGTTGCAAAAATAATTTACCTGGATAGGGCGTCTCAACATAGAGCTCTTCGTTCCGCTTGGCCGGTATTTCGAGTATGTCCCACTCCACGCTCATGTAGTACTCCTTCAGGTCGATGCCGAAATCAACGATGTTGCTGCCCGGCCTTTGCTCCATGTGTTTTAGGTCTACCTGGGAAAAGAAGGCCACGGTGAACGCTGGGATATCTGATGCACACCACCCGGTTGTCGAGTAGTTTTATAGAAAAGGTAGCAGTCTATCCTTATTGCTCACCCAACTTTCCCAAAGTTGTATGGAAACAAATATGCCCGAGAAGTATAACGATGAAAGCATAGGACGTCTCAAGATGTCACGTACACTCACTATGAAAATCCAGAGCGTTCGAACTCATAAGAGACTCGTTATTGTCATCTTCTCTGAGAAAAATATTATTCTTATAATTGAAATTTCCTTTGTTTTCGCTTCCAATGATGGGTTTTGTGCGGGATTTCCGCACCGTTCCCCCACTAATCGAGAAGAGCCGGAACGGAAATCCAAGTTATCCCAGGCGCTGGCTAGTCAGGTCAGGAATCGGACGGAATATCCCGAACGCACAAGATAACAAATCACACAAGTTTTAGACTAGCCTTTCGACTTTGGCATTATTGTTGCGACCTGAAATGTGCCTAAAACGACGTGCAAAACTCCTCCCGAAGTCAGTTTAACCTTCCATTTGTCACCAGTGAGAAGGCCGCACATTTAATCAAGTCGTCCACGGCTCATATCCGAGGGAAGGCGTCATCATTTCCGAACGGGGGCTCGTTACCGTCAGTTGAACTGACGTCGGATGACGGACCGCCATTGTGACCATTGTGCTGCCGCAGCGTCATCAAACTCTCCGCCGGCGCCCGGTCAGACAGTCCGCTCCACTCTACCCCGGTTCACTCTGCCCTGTCAGGGACTGCAGCCCTCCCTGCACCCCTCCCCCGCCCCGTTCCCCTCCTCAAACACCGTTCACCGACGTGTGGCCAAATTCGCCCGGCCGCGCCGACGGCCGTGTCGGGCGTCCCGCCGAGATTTGGGCGCCGCTCTCTGGGGATCGATGGCGCCTCACCAGGCGAGCCACGTACCGCTGAGGACAGACCCGAACCCCTCCCCCTCCCCGGACCCAGCGGGGCCCACACCGGACCCACACCGGACCCGTTCCGGACCCGGAGACAAGCGCTCGTCCGCCGAGCGCCCCCCGGAAGGGCGCGCCGCCGCCGCCCCGGGCCCAGCCTATTGACAGCCACGGCCGGCCGGGCCGCCGCACGCCGCACCAGACGGCTGCGCTCGCATCGGCTTTGGCAGAGGAGAGAGCGCAACGAGGGCAGAGGAAGGGATGGTCGAGAGACTGATGGTATTGGAGAGACGACATGATGTGGAAAGAAAAAAAATGAAGGATAGAGGTCAAAGAAAAGAGCTATAATGTTGAAAGGCTGGAGGATGACATTGGAAATTACGCGAAAGCGAGTGATGAGGCGTCGAGAAACGCGCGGGAGGGGCTGATGAATGGTCTGCTGAGGAGGCAACAAAAGAAAACGAACCGGACGGGGCCAAGGCTTTGCGAGATAAAGTGCGGCGAAGACGGTGCAGTGGCATACATAATGCATACACCGCACTGAGGTGTTGATGGCACCTTACTGGATCGGATGAGACTGTAAGATTCATTAGAACGGCGAGGCCCACAGCCATACACACATCGGCGCCGCAAACGCCCGTACGTACTCGGCGGCGGCATCGTGCGAACCCATGACTCATATGAAACACCCAGTGACACCTAGCGGTCGGCCAGACATTGCACTGACGTGGAAGTGACTACAGGCGGCGGCGCCCCACGAACTGCACCCTTCCCTTTGCTGACAAACCATCACAGAGGGAACATCTTTGTGCTGCCTGCCGACGATTGCAGATTGCCACTAGGCGCAAATAAGGTGGGTCGTATCCTGCATTTCCGCTGACGCCCTACTGGCCGCCATGACCGACTGCAGCCCTAGGACAGGGTTGCGCGTCGGCCATTATTGTTCAGGCCAGAGCTCTCCAACGGCCGACAGTATCACCGACCGTATACGCAGTTATGCTCGTGCCCCCTTTCAGGGAGATACGATTTATGCTGCCACCAGACTGCTAGCCTCGCATCTTGTTGTGTTTATAGACCTGTCCACGTGCATGACCTAATGTCTCTGTGCACCCAAGGCCAAGCCACCCTGACGCCATCTTGGCGGGAGCGACCAGCAATCGTGTGACCTCTGCCCAGCGATCGCGTGATCGTGACGTCAGCGGTAGGTGTGGACACCTCCAGCGCTGGTGGCGCCGCGGCGGCAGCGACAGCAACTGCTGGTAGCCACGTGGCCGCCAGCGGCGCAGGCGCGGGCGTGTCACGTAACCGTCACTGCGCTGTGAGGCGGCCCGGGTGACTCATCCGCCGTGACGTCAGCTGACCGTGACCGTGGCGTAGCGGCCTTTGGCCCGGCGCCCGGACCGCAGGTCCGCAGCTGATCGGGGGTCGTCTTGCACCGGGTCTGCAGCGGGCCATCTGGGCTGGAGTCAGGTCACTGCTGGCCGTATGCCGCTCTGTGGGTGCTAGAATGACTGCATGCTGCATTGCCGCCACGAGCATGTCCACTGACCGTCACACCTACACCGGAGTCGCAGTGTCGCACTCCCACTGAACTCATCTGTCCGCTGGCAGTGTGTATGGTACTGAGAAGCCTGTCCATCGACGCAGCCTGTATTAAGTCCTGGCACTGACTGACCGGCGCGACTCACCGGCCGGTTGCGATCGGCCACCGTGTGCCCGAGGCGCCGGACGTGCACAGCGGTCAGCGTCCACGCAGGGACGCGGCAGGGGTGTGCACAGATGTCAGTGCACACAGACAGGCCGCCAGCCGGCACCAAGTCTCTACACTGCCCTTCCCGAAGAAAATGAGCCATTGCGCCGCACACCAACACATAACTATGAAAAAAAATCAGTTTGTTTCCGCAATCGGCCCAACCGGCGATCACCAGCTTCGCTAGCACCCGACTCCGCCGGTACGGACGTTAACTGTTTCGCAGCCGTCAGCCCGCCGCTCTGACCCTATGCAGGACGCTGATCGACAGAGGGCGTGAAAGGAGTCGAGACCGAGTCGCGCCAAAAGAAAATTGGTATATGAAGGTTACGCGTACCACCGATTGCCGAGCACGTGCTAATGGCACCTTACTGGATCGGATGAGACTGTAAGATTCATTAGAACGGCGAGGCCCACAGCCATACACACATCGGCGCCGCAAACGCCCGTACGTACTCGGCGGCGGCATCGTGCGAACCCATGACTCATATGAAACACCCAGTGACACCTAGCGGTCGGCCAGACATTGCACTGACGTGGAAGTGACTACAGGCGGCGGCGCCCCACGAACTGCACCCTTCCCTTTGCTGACAAACCATCACAGAGGGAACATCTTTCCCCACCTCCTCCCCACTCCCCCACTATTACATTATCTTCCCTCCCAACCCATTGTCTCCTCCTTTCATCAGTCCGTCTCGTCTTTCAGCGGGAAATCACGGCACTGACCCTATGCAGGACGCTGATCGACAGAGGGCGTGAAAGGAGTCGAGACCGAGTCGCGCCAAAAGAAAATTGGTATATGAAGGTTACGCGTACCACCGATTGCCGAGCACGTGCTAATGCGGCAACTGCAGTAGGGCTAGTTAGAGCGGCCGCATCCCCATCACTCTCGTTTAAACCCGCGCCCTGCTGGGGGGGTGTTTGAACACCCCCCTTGTGGTTTTTCGCGAATATCTCAAAAACGGCGGCGCGGAGCGCCGCCGTTTTTGGTACACCTTATCATACATCAATTCTACACATGTTGTGAAAATTTCAGACCAAGGTCATTCAAGGTCAGGTCACCAGGTCACTTGAAGTGACCTCACCTCATAAAAAGTTTCAATGTCTGTCATAGCTACACCGAGTGACCGATCGCTTTGAAACTTTCAGCGATTGCTAAGAGCAATGGCATGTACAAAATGTATATCTCAGAATTTTGATATCGATGACCTAAGGTCAGGTCAATTTTGCGACCTCCCCATTATAATGCGCCTCTTTTGGATGAAAGACATTATAAACACTCCCAAACACCGAATTACAAGTGGTTTAGACACACTGAACATGAAAATGGTGTCCGTGACCCTTGTTTATGCCCTGAGGTCATCTTAGGTCACGAATGGTATCTAACAGTTTTTCGCAAATAACTTTTGATAGAGGCATGCTAGAGCGATGAAAACGCCTTAGATGTGTTCAGCTCGACGATACGGATCGACTGATATGCAACATGACCCTTTCCGGTCAGGTCATGACCTTGACCTGAGGTCAAATTTTCAAGTTGACCTTTCAAGGTCAAGTTATAGTTCATTCGATGCGTCTTGACGAGAGGAACACGATGCCGGTAAAAGTAAGCTCGTACAGGGCTTGGGTCAAAAGTTATTGCAGAAAAACTGTTTCCGAAAAAAATCGGCTATTTTTGCAGTTTTTGCCCCCTGCAGGCAAAACCGTTGACGCTAGGTCAAATCTGAGAGAATTACTCAGAAAGGGCGTTAATAGGGCTATCGAATGCGCTTTTCCGCGGCGCTGTAGCTCTATTGGTTCCCGAGTTATGCGTTGGCTTCTTGGAAATTTTCGCCATTCGACCTGGAAATCGGCGAAATTTTGCCTTCAATGACCTCTGGTGACCTGACCTTTGACCTGACCAAAAAATTGACCGAAGTGATTTCGTCATTATTTTTGACGCTCTTTCGAACGCCGCCTTCCGCGTATCGCTACGTGGCCCAGGAGCCGAGTTACAAGGGGGGGTGTTCAAACACCCCCCCCCCCCCCCAGCAGGGCGTGGAAATCCAGGACCCCCAGCTGGGCGCGGGTTAATGGCTCGTCTGATAAACTACCCCAGATAAATCACTAAATGAGTTGGAAAATGTAATTTTCAAGGTAATCAAGGCATCGCTAACGTCTGGCAATCAAGATAAATGGCCAGTGTTTCTGCACGATCAACAAAAGAAGCTATTAAAAGCCAATCCGATAGCAAAATTTTGTAAGTAGGCTGTCCGAAAAGTTCTGGGATGGATCGATGCTAATTCAGTGAAAGTTTAACACTGCATTTGGCAAAAAGTTGCTTGATATCGCTATATATGTAAGTCTAAAATCAGTTTCGACTTGTACATACCTAACTATCCGCAGGTCGTTCATTTCTTTGACTAAACCACTTTTCTTAAAATCTATTTACATGGAAAAAACAGGCTTCATGGTAATTATATATCATTTATAGCGCTCTACAATTCAGGTAGGTAAGTGTTACATTGCTTTAATTGTTTGCTAAAAGTGAGCAACCTAAATAATGAGACATAAAGGTATGAACGTCCTGCCCACCTCCTATACCTGAAAGCCGTCGTAGGTCCAGCTGCCGAACTTCATGACGCAGCTCTGCTCGTCGAAAGGGAACCACTCTACGTCGATCTCGCAGGAGGACTTGTAGATGGCCGGCGGCTTCCAGACCACCTGTCCGTCGTAGCGCAACGTCGCCTTGGTCATCAGCGTCACCTCGTAGTTGCCGTCAGCGCTGGAAGAGACGTCAGGGACACGGTTATCACACAGTGGCACGGACTGCAGTGGATGGGGCTGACGTCAAAAGGGTGGTTTGCAAGTGAAACAGGTCAGAGTAGTAGACTGAACTGTCATAAATCAGAAGGTACTGCTGGCATTGTAACAGAAATAAATCAAAATCATATGTATCGTAAAAATTGCTGTTTTCGTGAATGGTCTTGTGTGAACCGATATCAAAATTCCGAGATATACAAATTGTAGCTACTAATGACCTTATAACATCCTGCGACTTTCAAAGGCCTCCGACATCTACTGTAGCTCTGGCACGGTGACAAAGTTGCAAAAAAGTGACTTGAGGTTGGGTCATTCAAAGTGACCTGGTGACCTGACCTTAAAAGTTAGGAGGTTGAAACTTGCACACCATGTGTAAAATTGATGAGGAAATAGTCGTACCAAATTTCGCGGCGCTACGCCCCGCGGTTTTCTCGCTATTCGCGAAAAATCTCAGGGGGGCGGATATCCGCCCCCGTCGGTGCGCGGGTTAAGTGCCGTTAAATGTAGAGCAAAAAACCTATCCATACTTAATAGCACCTAGAAAATATTATGTTCCAAAACTGCAGCGTCTATTTTAGCCATGTTTCTTCCTATGTTGAGGTATGCCTTTGATGTTCAAAACAACGTTGAAGTTTGAACGTCTTATCATTTAACCCTCGCCCCGTTGGGGGGGCCATTTTGGCCCCCCCCCCTGTGGTTTTTCCTGAATAGCAAGAAAACGGCGGCGCGCAGCGCCGCCAAATTTTCAGTACCTTCCCGGGCATCAATTTGACACCTTCACACCAAATTTCAAGTCTTAGGTCACCTTAGGTCAGGAGTTATTGAGGTCAAACTGAGGTCATGTTCGAGCAAAAATGAGCAAAAAACATGCAATCTTGAAACGCTCACCAAATCTACAGTTATCAAGCAATTTCAAAGTTCTTTTTATGGTCTAGTAGACAAAAAGCGGCGCTACAAAACTGCTATCTCGGATTTTCGAAATTTTTGGTTTTTGACAAAAAAAAAAATCAAAAAATTGATTTTTTTAGAAAAAAAAAAACTTTGAAAAAAATCCAAAATTTTTCCGAATTTCGAAAAAAAAACAGAATATATGTGATAGTCCCAGCGCTCTTCTATATACATACCAAATTTCAGATCGATATCTCGTTTTTGGCCAGTTATAGCGAAAAAAACTGTTCAAAAATGATGACGTCAAATTTTTGAACTCAATTTTTAGCAATTCTAGACCACGTACGGCAAAACAAAGACCACCATTGAACTCCCCGTGACGAGCTGCATCGATTCGATACCCATTTTATGCAAAAATATTAACTTTGAAATTGACCTAATTTGACCTGACCTTGACCTGACCTTGACCTGACCTTGACCAAAACGTGATCTAAGCTGGCCCCAAAGGCTGCCTGA